TTTTTCCCGCTGTTTTTTATGTTGTTAAGTGTCGTACTTCCTTTCTCGTATTTTTGTAATAGTCGCGAAAGTAACGCGTCCAAAAATGGTAAATAATAAACAAGGAGCAGTGAAAATACATCCTTACTTTAAATGGTTGTTCTTGACCATATGCGAGTTGTTCCCCAAACGCAATAAAACATTAATAGTTTCGGGAAGAAGACCCATAAAAACATCCTCTTCACTTTCACCGGAAAAAAACTGCTTCTATATCCGATTTAAACGGTCGTTGGTCTATAAAATGTAAAACAGGTTTTTAACACCAATTTTGGTTGCTCTATTTTTGTATAAATGTTGCTCCATACAAATATTTTAATTATTTTTGTAATATTTTGCGATGTAAATCTGAAATTATTATGCGTCAAAACAAACATATGCATCAGCAAGTGGTTACCAAAGATTTAAAAATAGAAATTAATTAACTCACTGACTAATTTTTTTTATTGCGGGTTGCCTCCAGCAAAAAGTAATTGAACAAATTAAACTGCCAATATCTGAAATTTAAAAAAAACTCTTTTTACCACTAACCGGCAGTTTTGTCTAAATACGAATAAATTTCCACGTCCACCAGGAGGTATTATTCTGCTAAGCGTTGATCTATTTTAAAATGGCCGATAGCCCTACTAAACCATTATAAATAAAAAAATAAACTAAAACAAACAAATCCAAAAAAATATCAAAGCAATTTTAACCCGAATTGCGAAACTCAAAAACATAAATTCGTTTTTTGAAATATACAGGGTGGGTAATTTAACTTGAAACTTTGAAATATCTCAGTTGGTATGCATTTTATTTTTCCAAAGCCTGGGAAAAAAACGGAAAAAACAGGTTTTTCCCAATTTTTCCGGTTTTTTCCGACACTTTAAAACCCTAAGTATGAGGACCAATTTTAGTAATGATTGATTTTTCCCCTCGAATCACTAAATTTATACTAAATGCATACTAACTGAGATATTTCAAAGTTTCAAGTTAAATGACTCACCCTGTATATCTGGAACATAAAACAAATAAAATATCAGAGCAATCGGAATTTGCACCTAATAATAAAATATAATGCCAACAGAATAAGCTTTGTTTATAAATACTTCCGCATAGCCACTTATAGGTTTCGTAACAAGATATTCTAAAAGTTTGTGAATATTGCTTACCCTGATTACTGCAACATAAACTGCCACCCACCACATCTTTAGTCATGTGATATAAAACCACCAATTAGAGCAAGCTCAAGCTGACGAGCCGCTACTGATTACAGGATGTAGAAATGAAAAAAATATTCTTAAAAAACCGGATTCGTCAGCTTTTACACCAAAAATGAAAGTACGGCTAACTTTTGGATAATTTTAATTAATTTTTTGTACAAATCTCAGCTTAAACTATTTGTATATAAATGAAATTTCTTCAGATACCTGCAGTTTGAGTAAAAAGTTAGTTTTAACAGTTGATTGCATTTTTATCTAGGCGAGGAATGCAACGGTACCAATTAATTTTTTTTATTTTTATGGCATGCAACCTAAGCAAATCTATTTCTTATTAATTACAAGTATTACCTGCTATAACTATCTTAATACGTCCTATATGTAGCACATAGACTACACCAAAATATCTTTATTAGTATAGTTGGGATGCAGAAATGAGTAACAACAATCTGTTGTGAGAAATCGACATGATCCACTAATTTGGCAACATTGCTACAAATCTGTCCATTTTGTTTCTTTTATAGACAATTTGATGTGCGGCTTAACGCTCCACTTGATTTGGGTGCATGATCGACTCAAATAGGAAGTTATGTTGTTTTTTTTCATTTTAAACTTAATCGACTGACTAATATGACTTACTTAATAGGCCATTGTGCTAACTAGATTTTTATGTATTATATGATACGTCTAGGGATTATAATCCAGCAGGGTTTTTAATCCAGCTGGATCCAGCAATTTATAATTTTTTTAAAGATTTTTTTTTAAATATGTACTTAAAAAACTTTTCTTTTTAATTTCATGAAAAAAACTAAAATAGGTATAGAAAATAAAAAATAAATAAAATAAAATTTTAATTTGACACCAATTACATTAATTAATTTAGTTTATTGATATTGATAACCGTTGATAACTAAAATTTATCATTAATATTTTTTTTTAATTAAAAGCATTAATTTTACCAATTTTCATGTTTTGTTAATTTTTTGAAGTCCTACCAAATTACTATTAGTAATATGTAAACGCAAATAAATAAATAAATAATAAATATTATTTTTAAAGACTGAAAAACTTTTTTGAAAAAATAAATGGCACTATTTCGTATACCTATTTCAATTTTAGTACATTAAATTTTATCCTCTTATTACGAGCCCTAACCACATAATGTTCGGACACTTCATAATTTATACAGAAATTAGAAGTTATGAAAAATTCAGCTTATTTTGGCATATACCCCTCGAAGCGATTTTTATTTTTAAAAAGTTTACCTTTTATTTTTAGCTTTTAAAAAAAGGCTAACTTTTTAACTTTTTTTTGTATGAGTAAAAAAAGTTATAAATGGACCCATTAAAAAGAGCATAAAATATTATACAAACCCTGAAAATTTGGTAAAAAATAAATAAGTTATAAAAAAGTATAAGTAATTTAAAAATGCTATTTTTAAAGAGTTTTTGCAATTTTCTTAGGAAACGGGAGATTTTGCAGATATATATATCGCTATAACTTTCTTATTATTTATACAATTTTTACCAAATTTTCAGGGTTTGTATAATATTTTACGACTTGTCTAATCGTCCGATCATCGGATGAATAAAATATATTAATCGTCCGAACATACGGACGACTAATATATATTATTCTTCCGGTAATAACATAACGTTAGTTACGTCATAATTATAATTCGCTTTTGTTCACCGACCGTTTAATATTTGACAACAAGCTAGATAGCTTATATGGTAGGGCGTTCGCTTGTCATACGAGAGGTCCCGGGTTCGATACTAAGAAGCTGTCGAATTTTTTTTATTTTTTTATTTCATAAATTTGTTGTTTCTTTGTTAAACAGTGTTCGGTTGGGTTGGGTTGGTTGGTTTGTTTTAGTTTTATCGTAACATAAAATCTACTAGAAGTTGTCGAACTTTTTTTATTTCATAAATTTGTTGTTGCTTTGTTAAAAAGTGTTTTATTTTTATCGTAACATAAATTTGCCCATTTTAGTTGGGTTTTTTGTTCAATGGGGCGGGGGGGGCCAATGGGGCGGGGTCGGTTGGGTTGTGTTGTTGAGTTTGAGTCCGATAATCTTTTTATTATTTATTTATGTTATTACCGGACGATTAATATATTTTAATCGTCCGATTATACGGACGACTAGCAACGGCCTTTTGACTTGTCTAATCGTCCGATCATCGGATGAATAAAATATATTAATCGTCCGAATATACGGACGATTAATATATTTTATTCATCCGATGATCGGACGACTAGCAACGGCCTTTCGACTTGTCTAATCGTCCGATCATCGGATGAATAAAATATATTAATCGTCCGAATATACGGACGACTAGCAACGGCCAATATTTTATGTTCTTTTTAATGGGCCCATTTATAACTTTTTTTACTCATGCAAAAAAAAGTTAAAAAGTTAGCCTTTTTTTAAAAGCTAAAAATAAAAGGTAAACTTTTTAAAAATAAAAATCGCTTCGAGGGGTATATGCCAAAATAAGCTGAATTTTTCATAACTTCTAATAATTTTGAGATAGTATTCACGAAAAAAAATTCTGTATTAATTATGAAGTGTCCGAACATTATGTGGTTAGGGCTCGTATATGAATTATATCTACTGGACAATTAAATATATGTAGAACATTAAACCGATTTCTACTTTAAAAGCTTGAACAAAATTAATGTAAAAATTATAAGATAATTATCTTTATTATTTTTTTGTTTTTGTATTTTTTTATTCCCAATGTAACTACTGTAATGTAATGTAATGTTTATAACTAAATTAAAATTAAAATTCAGTCAAATTTCTCATAATTCTCACAACAAACAACTTCACAACAAACAATCCGGCCACACTTATTTAGCATGAGACTTTATTAAGCGAGAGCGAAAAGTGCGGTGTAGAAAGGGGTGTAGTAATTTGTAGGGATATAGTAATACCCCCATTCAATTGGGGTTCATGAATGGGGTTTGGGTGGTTAGTTCGCTGCTTGGACCTATCCTTGATGGTCTCGATGTACTATCGAAGTACTATCTGTTCGATTGCGTTCGTGTCTACTGAAAATTACTGTACTGCAGCCCGAAACTGTGCGAAACCGTTTCTTCAGTCTAGGGTCGAAAACCATCGACAGATAGTTTTTGGTAGTCGGAAATGTGGCAATAGTTTTTTTTATATGACGAATTATGGGAAAATGACCTGTAAAGGAAAGTTAGTAAATACAAATTATTTGACCCACTGTGCATAAGCCTTAGCTTTATTTCAGCAAAGACTTATTAAGATAGTGCTGTGTTGGCATGTTTATTGTTAATGCCCTTGATTTTTTGTTTATGTTAACTTCTATTGCGCATCACGGCTGTTTGTTTAGTTTTGGTTTTGTACCGATTTATACGAATAATTACGTTTGCTGTCCTGTAGGAATTCTCTTTTTCTTGTTTGGCTGTTTTGTTTTCCTGGTTTAGATGCGTTGCGTTTTCTATAAAATGCAACTGATTTCTTACACATTCTTCACTTGTTGTATTGCACTGCCCTATTGTATTAGCACTTTGCTGATTCTGTAAGACATCGGGAGGCAGGTACTTTATTTATCTGCACAGATAGTGGCCCTGGGTTCTAAATTAGAACTTCTAATTGCGCACTGTATTGTTACTAATAGGCTTTTATTACTTCTTTACTCCTTAGAAGCGGTCTCTAACGCGTCTGTATCTTATGATATCTCAAGACGTACTGCTATTTACCAATTTATATTTTTGACAAAAACTAATTTCCAGGCATCCAACATAGATGGCAGACGCAAAGGAGCGTGCCTCTTCTGCCAGGAATACTTCATGGAGCTCTATCTGCTGGCCGAACTTAAAACTATCTCCCTAAAAGTGACAACCGTCGATATGCAAAAACCTCCGCCCGATTTCAGGACCAACTTCGAGGCGACCCCGCCGCCTATTCTAATAGATCGTGGAATGGCCATCTTGGAAAACGAGAAGATCGAGAGGCACATAATGAAGAGTGTGCCTGGGGGACACAACTTGTTCGTGCAGGTAATTAAGAATTTATTATTCGTCTTTAGGTGGTAGGTAAAACTCTTTGCCTTTAGGACAAAGAGGTGGCAACCCTGATCGAAAACATCTACACCAAATTTAAATCTTACGTGACCAAATCCGTGAGCGACAACAAAATCAGTACAGCGCCGAACCCGCCCCTACTCCAACACTTGGAGCGAATCAACGACTTCCTCGGCAAAAGGGGCACCAGGTTCTTGACGGGGGACACCATGTCCTGTTTTGATTGCGAGCTGATGCCGCGTCTGCAGCACATCCGCATCGGGGCGAAGGCCTTCCAGAAGTTCGAGATCCCCACCAGGCTGAACGCCTTGTGGACCTACATGTCCAACATGTACGAGCTGGAGGCGTTCAGGCAGAGCTGTCCCGCGGACCAGGACATCATCAGCCACATCAAGAACCAGCTGGGCATCAAAACCACAGCCAGAATAGAACTGGAGACGCCGGTGTTTACGACCTCCATCCCCATTTTGTCGGAGTCGTAACTAGTCAGCAACAAGTGTCAATATGCAAACACCAATACAACAATGTCGACCATTTTCTACTATTTATTATTATTATTGGCATTTTACACGAAACACTTAATTAAACAAAGGTATTATATTTTCGGTGTATAACGTTTCTATTATACATTTTAAATTGTGTAAATATACTATTAAGACATATTAACTATAGCTTTTTTCGTTATTGTAATGGATTAGGAGTAATTTTTAATAATAAACAAATAAACCTATGTATTTTTACGTAATTTTCAATTAGCTAATGTTTAAGGCGATGTTAATATTTAAAACAATAAAATTAGTAAAAATAATTCGCTTGTCTTATTTCTTCTAGCTTCCTGCAGTCGCACAAGGTTTCTATCTAACCCTACTCCAAATGAACTTGGTCACTAACGAATTGACATTTCCAAATTGCAAAAAAATCTTCAAAATCTTATAAATTGAGACATTTTCTTGTGGTTTTTAATATCCTCATTAATATCCTCTTTTAATGTACCTATACAAATCTTTTGTACACTTACTATTGCAAAGCATTCCGAAAATTCAAGTTTCCCACTTTTTAAGGCGATGTTAATATTTAAAACAATAAAATTGGTAAAAATAATTGGCTTTTCTTATTTCTTCAAGTTTTCTAGAGTCCCGCAAGGTTCCTATCTAAGCCCATTCTAATTGAACTTGGTTACTAACGACTTGACATTTCTAAATTGCAAGAAAATCTTGAAAATCCAATGATTAAAGACATTTTCGTGTGGATTTTAAGATCCTCATTAAAATTGTTCATCTTTTAATATATACAAATCTATTGTACACTTACTATTGCAAAGCATTGCGAAAAATATCTGTCAATGTTGACGTTTCTTATTTTAAAATAAAAATTTCATAAAATTTGCATTTTGGTCAAAAAATTGAATCGGCAGTTATATCTAATTTTAAAAAAATGCTCGTGGCATTAATTTCAAAATTAAAAATTTATTGCCATAAATGGGAAATTGTCTATATTTTAATATATACAAATCTTTTGCAGAAATTTGACATCCCCACTTTTCAAGGTGATGTTAATATTTAAAACAATAAAATTAATAAAAATAATTCGCTTGTCTTCTTTTCTTAAGTTTCCTGGAGTCCCGCAAGGTTCCTATCTAAGCCCACTCCTAATGAACTTGGTTACTAAAGACTGCAGTCTTTAGTAACCATGGACATTTTTTAATTGTGACTATTCCACTCATTACTTTATGGACCAATCAGATTTCAGACAACAAGTGTTTTTTCAGTTTTGCAGCGACTATTCCACTCATTACTTTATGGACCAATCAGATTTCAGAAAACGAGTTTTTTAGTTTTGCAGCGATAAAACTACTATTTAGGTGACGATTTCCCTCGTCTTAATTTCCACCAATCACAAACGCGCAATTTTGAACTACAAATGGTTTCTAGGTGAAAAAACTGCATGACAGCACCTGTCAGCAGTTTTTTCGAGTTTACCCGCGGCAAAACTTGACAGCTGTTGTTACCAAAAATTGCAATTTATATTTTAATTGTTAACTGTTACTCATGAAATAGTCTTGTCAAATACCATTCGGGCATCTAATTTTTCCTGTGAAAAAAATCGAAAAAACACAATGCTAAGTAATATTTTTTAACAAAATGCATTCGTGCAGATGCAAAAATCCTCGTCTTCGACTCGGATTTTTGTTGCCACCAGCACTCATGCATTGTGTTTTTTCGATTTTTTTCGGAAAAATTATGATATTACTTACGACTATTTCCCTCGTCTTAATTTCCACCAATCACAAACGCGCAATTTTAAATTACAAATGGTTTCTAAGTGAAAAAACTGCGTGACAGCACCTGTCAGCAGTTTTTTCGAGTTTACCCGCGGCAAAACTTGACAGCAGCTGTCACCAAAAATTGCAATTTATATTTTAATTGTTTAGTTACTCATGAAATAGTCTTGTCAAATACCATTCGGGCATCTAATTTTTCCTGTGAAAAAAAATCGAAAAAACAAAATGCCAAGTAATATTTTTTAACAAAGTCCATTCGTGCAGGTGCAAAAATCTTCCTCTTCGACTCGGATTTTTGTTGCCACCAGCACTCATGCTTCTTGTTAAAATATTACTTAGCAACGTGTTTTTTTGATTTTTTTCGGAAAAATTAGATGCCCTTATGATATTACTTACGACTATTTCCCTCGTCTTAATTTCCACCAATCACAAACGCGCAATTTTGAATTACAAATGGTTTCTAGATGAAAAAACTGTGTGACAGCACCTGTCAGCAGTTTTTTTGGAGTTTACCCGCGGCAAAACTGACAGCTGTTGTCACCAAAAATTGCAATTTATATTTTAATTGTTAACTGTTACTCATGAAATAGTCTTGTCAAATACCATTCGGGCATCTAATTTTTCCTGTGAAAAAAATCGAAAAAACACAATGCTAAGTAATATTTTTGAACAAAATGCATTCGTGCAGGTGCAAAAATCCTCCTCTTCGACTCGGATTTTTGTTGCCACCAGCACTCATGCTTCTTGTTAAAATATTACTTAGCAACGTGTTTTTTCGATTTTTTTTCAGAAAAATTAGATGCTCTTATGATATTACTTACGACTATTTCCCTCGTCTTAATTTTCACCAATCACAAACGCGCAATTTTGAATTACAAATGGTTTCTAGGTGAAAAAACTGTGTGACAACACCTGTCAGCAGTTTTTTCAAGTTTACCCGCGGCAAAACTTGACAGCTGTTGTCACCAAAAATTGTAATTTATATTTTAATTTAAACGCAATGCTAAGTAATATTTTTTAACAAAATGCATTCGTGCAGGTGCAAAAATCCTCCTCTTCGACTCGGATTTTTGTTGCCACCGGCACTCATGCTTTTTGTTAAAATATTACTTAGCAACGTGTTTTTTCGATTCTATCGGAAAAATTAAATGCCCATATGATATTACTTACGAAAGAACACTCGTTTATAAATACGAGTTGCACAGCAACCAATTGGTTGCTATGCGAAAAATATCTGTCAATGTTGACGTTTCTAATTTTAAAATAAAAATTTCAAAAAATTTGCGTTTTGGTCAAAAAAATCATACAGAAATTGAATCGGCAGTTATATCTAATTTTAAAAAAATATTCGTGAAATACACGGAAAAAAATAATCGGTAGAGGCTACCGATTGGCAATCGGTAGCAGCTACAGATTGCCAATCGGTAGACTCTACCGAAAAAATCGGTAGACTCTACCGATAAAATCGGTAGTCTCTACCGAAAAAAAATCGGTTCCCTCAACCGATTTTTATCGGTAGCAGCTACCGATTATTTTGGGTAGAGTCTACCGATTTTTTCGGTGCAGGCTACCGAAAAAATCGATTACCAATTTTTGAAAATTTTTGTATTTTTTTAGCGAGAAGTTAAATACTCGCTTTTTATTAAATAGAAAATAGTATTTTTTTTTGAGGTATAAATAAATTTGAAATACAAAAATATTAAAAATGAGGAGTATTTTTTATTAAATTTTTTACAATTCTAAATAAATATTAGGTGGCTACAAAGTAGAGATTTTTTTTTGTATTAATAAACAAGGTTCTAAATTTGGTAATTTGCTCTTATTCTTTGTCATACTTGATTTATAATCAATTTCAACGCAATAAGCATGATAGTGTTGATCAAAATACAATGTTTTAATCGAGAACATGAGAAAATTATACAATTATTTACACTGACTATTTCATTAATTTTTCCGAAGACTGGATCGTTATTATCATCAATCTCAACTAAAACAACCAAACCTTTCTGATATTTTTCTATTAAATAGATGATAAAAAACCCATTTCTTTGAATAGCATTTTTTAATAATTACAATGAATACCATCTCAAAATGTTTTTATTAACTTGAATAATGTTTAATATTATTTTTGAATAATGTTTAATATTATTTTTAAATGTTAATATTTTTAAGTATTAATATATTTTTTTAAATTTTTTAACAGCGCATCGATGCGGATTTTCTCGGTTACGGCTACCGAAAAAATCGGTAGACTCTACCGAAAAAATCGGTAGACTCTACCGAAAAATAATCGATTGCTACTACCGATAAAAATCGGTTGTGGGAACCGATTTTTTTTCGGTAGAGACTACCGATTTTTTCGGTAGAGTCTACCGATTTTTTCGGTAGAGTCTACCTATTGGCAATCGGTAGCTGCTACCGATTGCCAATCGGTAGCCTCTACCGATTATTTTTTTCCGTGTAGTCTTGCCGAATACCTACCACTCGTAATAAAATTTCCCCTGAAAAAGTTTTTGATTTTTATTTACTTAAGATTTTCCCTTGTAAATTTCGCTTGTTGCATTAATTTAAAAATTAATGCCATTTGCGAAATGAGTATGAGTATGAGTATAAGAGACGTATAACCAGCCCCATTTCCTCTTGACTCTCGAACCCCGTATAGGCCTATGTTTACTTACGCCGATTTTTGTTCTTCCCCAGCAACTGCACGGCTTTACCCGTGTTTGCTGGGTGCGAATGTCCATTTCGTTCCGTACTGTCCCCTATTTGGGGCTCGAGAGCGAGAGGCGAATAGTTTTAATAGCCATTCTCGGGTTCGCCGAGCCTATGCTATACGCTCAGTGGGGTATAGGAGGAGGGACAGGAGGGTGTTGGTTTTTGGGGGACAATTACGCCGACTTAATAAGTAGGACGCGGAATCCCCCTAGACCAGTCGATTAGTATTACTCCAAACATTTGGGATTACTATTTGGAGTTGGGGAGTTGTTATTTCGCTGCAGGGGTGTATTTTCCTAGTCGAGGTCTTTGTCTTGTTCGTTATTGTCATTGTCCGTGTCCTGGTCAGATAGTTCCTGCACTTGGTAAAGTGTGTCAGTTGTTTTTAATAAATTTGTCCCAAGCACGTTTTGTGGTAGAGTTTTGTCTTTTTTTCTTAAATTCCAAAATTAAGTATGCATTTATTTATTAGTTAAACAAATGACAAGCGCAATTATTCTGTTATCTAATGATTACAAATCTAGTAGAGTTTGATTATTAGGCATTTTTTTTTACTGTGTTAGGGTTATTATGATTAATGTTAGTTTATTCTGTGAGTCTAGTGTTTATTTTCGGTTTCGTTTGGGATTGCATTACGCACTTGTTGTTGACAAATTTATTGCCCTACTCCGTGTGCCTTTCATATGTTTTAAAGATATCTGCCGTATTTAAATTGCAGATTTTGTATTAGGTCATGCATATTCTTAAGGTAACTTATTAATTCTTTTGCGGATGGCCACCTCCCCTCTTGTTTGACCTCCTTTGTCTGTCCAGTGAAAAGCGTCCAATGACAGGTGGCCCTTAACTCATTCATATCACTTAACACTTCACTCCTCAATGACCGCTACACCACTCTAGCTTGCACTCTATGAAAATTGTTTGTTTCACTTTATTAGTTTGCACTTTTTAAAAATTATTGTTGGTTTCAATCTTTAAACTTTTACGTTTTAAGAGCCTTCCCACACGCGTCGCGCCTTCTCAAGCGCTGAAACCTGACTGAATACCATTTGCGAAATTTACAAGAAAAAAAAAATCGTATAAAAATCAAATTGTATCGGTAAAATTTTACCACTAGTGGTATTATACGAAAAAATCTTGAAAATCTAATAAATTGGGAAATTTTCGTGTCCTTTTTAGGATCCTAATAAAAATTTTCTATATTTAAATATATTCAAATGTTTCGAAATACCTATACAAATCTTTTGTAGGTACACTTTATTTGCAAAGCTTTCCAAAAATTCGAGTTACCCACTTTTTAAGGCGATGTTAATATTTAAAACAATAAATTATTAAAAATAATTCGCTTGTTGCAAGGTTCCTATTTAAGCCCACTCATAATAAACTTGGTTACAAAAATCTTGACATTTTTTAGTTTAAATAAAATCTTGGAAATCCAATAAATTTAGACATTTTTATGTGGATTTTAAGATCCTCATTAAAATCGTCTATTTTTCCACATGTGGTCAAATCTGCCAACTGAATTTTAAACCAGTTCCGATTGAGCAAAACTTTTGCAGTTAAATATAAGGTTGTAAAAGGCTTGTAATAAAAATATTGTTGAACTGAAGGCTTAACTACTAGATTTTATAGTTAAAAGGAAGCTTCCCAAGGAGAAAAAATAAAAATTTAGATAATTTTATTCAAACAAACCAAATTTAATTGTACATAATAATATGTTGTTCAATTTTAAATTAATAATAATCAAATTCATCAAATATTTTAAATGAAAATTTATTACTTACATCAATAAAAAATATTTATGAAACTTTTTAAAAATTTAAAAATGTTTAATTGCAATTTTGATCTTCAGTTTTTAGATAGGTTGTAAAAAATACAATTTTAATTAAAGAACTAATTGTTTATTAAAGCAAACCATTGTTATTACATTAAGGGGGTTTCGATAAAATCCTAGGGAATATTTATGATCAATTTTATTTTATGCTTCGGAACCTCTGTACAAGGTCCATTATAAACAATATATATTTCTGGGTTATTTCCCCCCACAATGCAATCAAATTCACATTTACTTCCGAAAGTTATATTGTTTGAAGCGCAAACTGGAGCTGCGATCCTGTTGCACATGCAAATTTTATGTTGCAGAACGTCTGAGCAAGGTCCATTGTCAACAATGAAAATGTCTGGGTTATTTTTTCCAACAATACAATCAAATTCGCATTTATTTCCAAACGTAATATTATTTGAAGCGCACACTGGAGCTTCAATCCTGCTGCACATGCAAATTTTATGCTGCAGAACTTCTGCGCCACTGCATACAACGAAAATTAAAAAAATTGCTTCTGAAAGAGTTATAAACTTCATGTCTACTTTACGTGTTAAACTGATGTGTTCAATTGTGCGGTACAACCATATATGATTTGTTTATCTTCATAGTGCGAATCAATTTTTAATAAAAATTTACATACAATATAATGAAAGGGTAGGAATAAGGTATCGTGGTGCCCCTGACCAAACATTTTTTGCACCCCATATTTAAAAAAACTTCAACTCAATTTTATACATTTTCAAGATTTATTGCAATTTAGAAATATAAAATGTAAATGTAAGTTTAAAGGAATAAGACAAACGAATTATGTTTACCAATTTTATTGTTTAAAATTGATAAAAATAATTCGTTTGTCTTATTTCTTTAAGCTTCCTGGAGTCCCACAAGGTTCCTATCAAACCCCACCCCTAATGAACTTGGTTACTAACTACTTGACATTTTTAAATTGCAAAAATATCTTAAAAATCCAATAAATTAATTAATTTTCGTGTGAATTTTAAGATCCTGGTTAAAATTTTATATAATTTAAATATAAAAATGTTTTGTACACTTTCTATTGCAAAGCTTTCCAGAACTTCGAAATCCCCACTTTTCAAGACTATGTTAATATTTATAGATAGATAGATTTATTTGTTCAAAAAGTTTTACAAAGGCACAATGTAGAACACGTCAGAAAAGATAATATATATAGAATTGAATAGTACAAATACAAATTAAAATTAATGTACTGATACTTACCAGAACTTTAGATGGGAAACTGAATTTAAGGTTTATAATTTATTGATTTTGTTTAATACATATTCAGTAAGATATTTCCAAAAAAATTAACCATCGATGATAACGCCCAAGAACTTGAAAGATCTATTCAACACAATATCATTATCCAATCTAAGTTGATCATCTGAAAAGCCTTATTCACCAAATCTAATAAATTGAGTTTTTTCTAAATTTAATTTTAGTCCATTGTTACCAAACCATTCAAATTTGTTTTTCTGTGATGAATTTTTGCAAGATGCGAGTGTTACTGTTACTACTGTTTATGGCTGCAGTATCATCAGCAACCATTATTATTTTTTCATTGTGTCCGGCAAAAGTTGGAAGATCATTGTTGTACAAAATAAAAAGTAATGGTCCCAATATAGAACCTTGTGGTACACCTTAACTTATGCCTACAGAGTCAGACGAAATTTCAACACCGCTCTCTAAAGTTATTTTTACATATTGTTTTCTGTTTGACATATAAGAGCTTATCAAATTTAAAGCCACCGGTGGCCTCTTAAACCATACCCCAAGCAAATTTACTTCTAAGTCAACTTTAAAGTATTTTTACGGTTTTTTAACGGTATAGATACGAAAAATTACCAAATTTGGGAAATGGTTTATTTCGTTATTTTACCTACATAATAACCTTTTTGATCTACTAAGAGAATAACGTAATAAACAATATAAATACCACAAATTTACGTAAAAATAACGCTAGAATTACTAACTGTTTCAAACAGTCTGTTTGCTCTTTCTTTCCAAAACATTGACATTCGTAATTTCTTTTTTCTTTTAATTTATATTTTACAAAATGGTACTTACAAAGTAATAAAGGCCACCCTAGAGTAAAATTAAAAAATATAACTTAAATTGTCAAAACTAATAATATTTTGCATTAAAACTCAAACGCACATTATTTTATTGATAAAAATAGGCACGATACATCTTAAAAATTATATGCCCTCTAAATATTTTACGGTTTTAAGAAAAAATATTGTTTGGGTAAAAATTCAACAAAACTTAAAACCTACAAAATTTTATAAAATCTTTTAAAAATCATTTAGTTTTAATCATTTTTTAATAACTAAAACTTTCCTTATTATATTTTAGAAAAATATTTATGAAAAAATATATAATATCGTAAAATTATGACTTTAATTTTTCATTAAGTAAAAATTCTGACGTTAAAAATACCCTTAAATTTACCTTGAGGTGAAATTCACTTAAAGTAATTTTCTTTCGTAAAAAGTACGTCCCTCATAATACTTTAAAGTGTTGAAACTTAAGGGTTATTAAAATAGGTAAAAATAACATAAATAAAACTAAGATTAATTTAACAAAATATATACTTAAATTAGGTAATATTGCCTCAAAGCTCTACGCTTTTACTTAAAATGCTGCTTGAGACCTTTCCAGCTATAGGCAGAGCAGCTGTTTGTCGATACAGTCAAATGCTTTGGATAAATCAAAGAATGCAGCTACTGACAAAATAATAATAATAATAAAATTAATAAAAATAATTCTTTTGTTTATTTCTTTAAGCTTCCTTGAGTCCCACAAGGTTTCTATCCAGGTCCACTTCTAATGAACTTGGTTACTAACCACTTGACATTTTTAAATTGCAAACAATCTTGAAAATATAAAAAAATTAGGAATTTTTTTTGAAAATGTGGGGCGGAAGAAATGTTTGGTCCGGGGCGCCACGATACCTTAATCCGGCCCTTTAATTATATTTTATGCGATTTTTTTTTGAAAATTGATTCGCACCATAAAGATAAACAAATCATGTATGGTTCCATGGAACTGATGTGCACCGCACAAATGAACACATCAGTTTAAAACGTAAAGTAGACATGAAGTTTATAACGCTTTCAGCAGCAATTTTTGTAATTTTCATTGGATGTGTTGGCGCAGAAGTTCTGCAGCATAAAATTTGCATGTGCAGCAGGATGGAAGCTCCAGTTTGCGCTTCAAATAATATTACGTTTGGAAATAAATGCGAATTTGATTGTATTGTTGGAAAAAATAACCCAGACATTTTTATTGTTGACAATGGACCTTGCTCAGACGTTCTGCAGCATAAAATCTGCATGTGCAACAGGATCGAAGCTCCAGTTTGCGCTTCAAACAATATAACTTTCGGAAGTAAATGTGAATTTGATTGCATTGTGGGGGAAATAACCCAGAAATATATATTGTTTATAATGTACAGAGGTTCCGAGGCATAAAATAAAATTGATCATAAAGATTCCCCCTCAATGAGAATTGCTTTAATAAACAATTAGTTCTTTAATTACAATTGTATTTTTTATAACCTATCTAAAAACTGAAGATCAAAATTGGAATGGAACTTTTTTAATAAGTACCAAAAAGTTTCGTAAATATTTTTTAAGGATGTAAGTAATAAATTTTCAATTAAAATATATAATGAATTTGATTAATATTAATTTAAAATTGAACAAGATATTATTATCTACAGGGTGTCCCAAATTGGTTGTCCGTATAGGGTCATATCTCTTAACCTAAAAGAGCTAAAAAAATCTGTCTACACCAATAAATTCTATGATAAAAAGTAACTACATAATATTTTAAATCTGTATTCGTAACTCAAATATTAACGAAGCTACAAGCATTTGTCAAAATTGACAAAAATTGAAAAAATAGGTATATCTCCTAAATAGAGAAAAGACATCAACCGATGTATCTTTAAAAAAGACGACGGGGATGCGTGGTCGAATTTTTTCTAGCATTTATATTTACTGAGATAGCCTATACGGACAACCAATTTGGGACACCCTGTACAATAATAATTACCTTTTAAATTTTTTAAATGTTTTATTAAATTTGGTTTATGTATGAATAAAATTATCAAAATTTTTATTTTTTCTCCTTGGAAAGTTTTCTTTTAACTATAAAATCTAGTAGTTAAGCCTCCAGTTCAACAATATTTTTATTACAACCTTTTACAACCTTGTGTTTAACTGCAAAAGTTTTGCTCAATCGGAACTGGTTTAAAATTCAGTTGGAAGATTTGACCACATGTGGAAAAATAGACGATTTTAATGAGGATCTTAAAATCCACACTAAAATGTCTGTATTTATTGAATTTTCAAGATTTTTTTAAAGTCTTTAGTAACCAAGTTCATTAGGAGTGGGCTTAGATAGGAACCTTGCGGGACTTAAAGAAAAAAGACAAGCGAATATTTTTAATAATTTATTGTTTTAAATAATAACATCGCCTTAAAAGTGGGTAACTCAAATTTTTTAAGGCTTTGCAAATAAAGTGTATATATTTAAATATAGAAAATATTAAGTGGGATCCTCATAAGGACACGAAAATTTCACCAAAAATTGCAATTTATATTTTAATTGTACCATAAATAATTAAGTTTGTAGTATTTTGTGATTAAATAAATTACCTATTTTTTAGTTTTCAAATTAATACCTACATATTTATTATGTATGCATGTATAATAGGTAGTATGTTTTGTAAGCTATGTGTAGGTATGCAGAATAACTGTTGCTCATGAAATAGTCTTGTCAAATACCATTCGGCCATCTAATTTTTCCTGTGAAAAAAATCGAAAAACACAATGCTAAGTAATATTTTTTAACAAAATGCATTCGTGCAAGAAATATCACGAATATAATTTTTTTAATTAGAATTATCTGCCGATTCAATTTCTATATGATTTTTTTGACAAAAACGCATATTTTTTTCATTTTTATTTTAAAATTAGAAACGTCAACATTGAAAAGTATATTCTGTAACAAGTTTGGAATACGGCATATTCCGCTCGAGTGAAAAGTTTGTCACACGAGCCGAAGGCGAGTTTGACGGTTTCACGAGAGGGATATTCGAATATGCAATTCCAAACGTGTTTTTTTTTCTACGTTACCAAAATATACCATAGACAAATAATTTAATTGGAAGAAAGTGAGGTTGGATCGGTCTAAAATTTGTTAGATATTAAAAACAGCTGTCGTAGATATTAAAAACAGATGTCGCCACGAGTGTTTATTCTGTCATCAGATGATAGAATATTTCATTCTGTAACACTTTACGAAATATATGTCATTCCATAGATAAAAGTGATATTAGAACGGTCATATTCCATAATAGGAGTAGAAAAAAAATATTTTTCGTAAGTAATATTATAAGGGCATCTAATTTTCCGAAAAAAATCACAAGTAATATTTTAACAAAAAGCATGAGTGCTGGTGGCAACAAAAATCCCAGTCGAAGACGAGGATTTTTGCACTTGCACGAATGCATTTTTTAAAAAAATATTACTTAGCATTGTGTTTTTTCGATTTTTTTCACAGGAAAATTTAGATGTCCGAATGGTATTTGACAAGACTATTTCATGAGTAACATTTATTCTGCATACACATAGCTTACAAAACATACTACCTATTATACATGAATACATAATAGGTAAATGTAGGTATTAATAGGTAAATGTAGGTATTAATTTGAAAACAGAAAAATAGGTAGTTTATTTAATTACAAAATACATACTACAAACTTAATTATTTATGGTACAATTAAAATATAAATTGCAATTTTTGGTGACAACAGCTGTCAAGTTTTGCCGCGGGTAAACTTGAAAAAATTTCTGACAGGTGTTGACATACAGTTTTTCCACCTAGAAACAATTTGAAATTCAAAATTGCGCGTTTGTGATTGGTGGAAATTAGGACTAGGGAAATATATTCTTCTATAGTCATTATTTTTATTAATTTTATCGCTTTAACTATTAACATCGCCTTAAAAAGTGGGGAACTCGAATTTTTGGAAAGCTTTGCAATAATTATTAATAAGTGTACAAAAGATTTGTATATATTAAAATTTAGACAATTTTAATGAGGATGGATCTACATGAAAATGTCTTAATTTAAGGATTTTTAAGATATTGTGCATTTTAAAAATGTCAAGTCTTTAGTAACCAAGTTCATTAGAAGTGGCCTTAGATAGAAACCTTGTGATTATCTCGTATAAAGTATTGACTTTAAGGAAATTTAGGTCATAATAAAAAATGTTCTTATATAAAATTTACGTAGGACTAGTAGTTCCTTTAACCTGCGAAATTCGACAACGCCAGAGGTATTAAAATTTTAAGTTTCACTTTTAAAAAATGTTTTTCCATTGAAAACTCTGACTGCTCTGAAGACCCTACGGTGGGGTCCAGGATTATATTAATATTAAGAGCTGAATGAAACCTAGCAGGAATTTAAAATATATATATATATATATTAAAAAATAAGTGTTATCGCAAAAATAATAAAAAAGTATTACTTATACATAACAACTTTAATACACATTAACGATATTAGTTATACGTAATAAAAATAAATATAATAAAAATATACTTAATTTATACAAACTACCATGTTATTAAAAAAAAAGAATAACAAAGTAAGTATTTAAACCAAATATACAGCAAATTCAGCGGTGCCAATGTAGTAAAAATAAAACGTTGTATTAAATTAACAAACTAATATTTTATTACAAATTAAAATATCATAAAAAACTAAAAACAACATAAAACTAAGTAACAGTAAAAATTGTTAATTTGTCGTTATAATGGCAAAATTAAGGTTTGAAACTGTCATATTTTTCCGTTTCTTAAGTTGTCAGCACGAAATTTGAAATAATTCGAATTAATAAAAAAACACGATTCCAAATAAAAAAAGAACTGTATTTTGTTTTTCGAGTTAAAAAAACACAGTTCTTTTTTATTTGGAATCGTGTTTTTTTATTAAGTGGGTAGTTTTAAACTACTAGTTTATGCCAGTTTGATTTAGTATTTTTAGTATTTACAAAATGGTACTTCTGCTACAGACCTTAAATAAATTAAATTAAATACTGTCAAATTGACAGTAATATTTATTATTGATAATTTACTTGTTAATTACTTATTATATAATATCGATATAAAAAGATAACTGCCAAAAATAATATCAGATTCTAAAGTAAAAGAACTTTTAAGAGCAAAACTTAATTTCGATAAAGTTATGCCAAATTCCTCAATGGCAGAAAAAGCGAGAGAAAAAGTACATCGCCTTATGGATATTTTTGGAGTAAAAAACTAACGTTTTTGGTTTTACAAATGGATATCGGTTAACGAAAAAGTACCAAGCGCCAAAAACTTTTTCTGGGGTAAACAAAATTATTTGCAAAATAACTCACTTTTAATGCTCAAACCATTAATAATGATTTCTCAATCCTTTTGAGAAAAGTATCAAATGATGATTAACCTTATGAGCATTATGAAATATGAGTTATTTTACAAATAATTTTACTTTTAAGCCCAGAAAAAGTTTTTAGCGCACGCGGTGTCCCTGAACGAAGTTTAGGTCACATAAAAATGACGCCAAAAACTGATTGCAGTTTCTTGTTCGGGACCCTTTGGTGACTTAAAAATGATATTTACCAAAATCCTAGCTGATCCTCTTTTCGAAATTTTTTGAAAATTCATGATTTTTTTTTTAATTTTTGTCTACCTTTGACAGAGTACACATTTGTACACCTACTTTAATAATATTGGAGTATATTGTTAAGAAGATTTGGAGAATACTGTTTATACTGTGCACATCATTTAATATATACAGGGTTAGCCAAAAATTGCTTCTTTTAATAAAGCAAAAGCGTAAATTCATGATTTTGGCATAGATATTTTTATGTTTATCAGGCTACAAAATGGGATTCTTATCAAGACTATAAGAAAAATTGATTTTGAATAAAATTAAATAAAATAATTTTTTTTGGAGATAAATCTGTTTTGTGCATTATGCTTTTTACTATATAAAAACGTGATTTTTGGCTAACCCTGTATATATTAAATGATGTGCACAGTATAAACAGTATTCTCCAAGTCTCGTTAACAATATACTCCAATATTATAAAAATTGGTGTACAAATGTGTACTCTGTCAAAGGTAAGATAAACAAAAATTAAAAAAAAAATTAAGAATTTTCAAAAAAATTCGAAAAGAAGAGCAGCTAGGATTTTGTTAAATATCATTTTAAAGTTACCAAAGGGTCCCGAATAAGAAACTGCAATCAATAAAAATCGGTGTACAAATCTGTACTCTGTGAAAGGTAGACTTTGAAATAAGCAAAAATGTAAAAAAAAAATCATAAATTTTGAAAAAATTTCGAAAAAAGGATCAGCTAGGATTTTGGTAAATATCATTTTTAATTCACCAAAGGGTCCCGAACAAGAAACTGCAATCAGTTTTTGGCGTCATTTTTATGTGACTTAAACTTCGTTCAGGGACACTGTGAGCGCTTGCTTCCTTTTTAATAAGCGTTATCGAAATATTAAATCACACATTATTTTCAGCTAAACTGATCAAAATTTTTTGAAATTTAAAAAAAAGGAAAAAATACAAAAAATAAAAATTATTTGCATTTTTCTTTTGTCTTTGAAAATAGCATTCATTTGGTTTGAAAAAGATAAGCAATAATCACGAAACTTTTTCTTCTTTCAATTTGCAAGTTACTGATCATTAATAGTCCTGGACAATAATTACATTATAATTATTATTAAGCCACTACAAGTATTAACGTCCAGTGGCTTTAAAAAAATACCCATTCACCATTGGAGTCCAACATTCATTTTAATTTATTTTATATAAATTCTTTTCAAAGCGGATATTATTATCCGCTAGGAATACTTTGTCTCTCCTGGGCCGTAGTCACCTATATTTAACTACTTTTTTACTCATCTACGCACCACCAAAGCCAAATTATAATTAAGTCAAGTTGATTTGTCAAAATTCGTGGTTAAAAATGCAATTATAATTGCATTTTTAACCACGAATTTTGACAAATCAACTTGACTCAACTTGACAACCGTTCAATGTAACCAATTTTGGTTCTTTATTTACCAACCAAACCCCTAAATTTGCAACGTTGCCGCAAAAAATTTGATGTTGATAGCTTAAAAATTGAGTATAGTTTTAATTTTTTATGGGAATCGCATGAGCTAGATCGTAAGATACAAAATAAAAATGGCGTAGGAAAACAAATGTAACTTTAATTTAAACGCGTGTTGTCCACGTATTATAAGTGTCAAAACACAATAAGTTAGGTTGTTAATTTAGTTGTAAAGGTCAAACATGATAGGATTGAAATTTTGAATATCCCGCGCAAATTGACAAAATCTAATTTCCAATGACCCAGAAAAAACAATAAATGAAAGTGCCGCAAAAAACCTTGAAAGCATAAGGACACAATAAATTAACAAACCAAAAACCGTTAATTGTTAATGAATTCGCCGCAAAAATCCCAACGTAAAGCTCATCGAGGTGCCAGTGACAAAATGACGTTTCGTTTCTCGCGTAAAAATTATCTGTGATGCGTTGAACCAAGAAAATCGCGATGAAAATGTACCCGCTACCTCGAGCAACATTACTGAAGTCGTTGGGCAGAAGATTCTGCAGTTTATACGCCGCCGAAAACGTTTTAAGCGATGGAAACATCAAAAAAACCGTGCAAAAATTCGCCACAATGAGACCTGTCAAGTTTAAGGCGCCCATGCCGGCAAAGAAGGCGGCTGTTTTGATACCCGTTTGCGAGATCGACGGAAAGGTGTCGCTACTCTACACGCTGAGGGCGGCAAGTTTGAGAACCCACAAGGGGCAAGTCAGCTTTCCAGGGGGTGAGTTTTTACAGTTAATGTGTTGTATTTTAAGTAAGCAACGAGATACACATCCTATTAATTATTGTTTGTTATCTGTCTACAAAGTAACAAAGTTTGGAATGTAGGCGACCCAGATTACACGCCGATGTAATAGGTTGCATTGTACGTTTTTTTTAACGTATTTTGCAATTATTACACATTGAAATAAGATTTTTTTAGGCAGAAAAGACGACACGGACGAGACCCTGGAACACACCGCTCTAAGAGAGTGCTATGAAGAACTAGGCATCAACCCTAACGACATTTTGGTTTGGGGTAGTGGCAACATGTTGATATCCCGCCAAGAAACCTCGGTGCTGCCGGTGGTGGGGCAAATAACAAAAGAAATCGACCCGAACAAGCTAAAAATCAACAAAAACGAGGTGGATGAAGTATTTACGGTACCTTTGGAGGACCTATGCGACCCGAAAAACTTAGCCCACACCCAGTTCAAAACTGGGTACACGATGCCGGTTTTTTTGGGCGGTAAAAAGAGGATTTGGGGGTTGACAGGGTTGATAACGAACATATTTTTACAAAGTTTGTTGCCTCCTGAGGCATACACGCACAACTTTAAATACTTTCACAGGGTTTTATATTAAATAAATGAGTATATCTATTTAGACTCTCTACCATCCATATCGTCGGAACTCATTCCATTTTTTGTCTTTAAATGTTGCCAGCATTGCGAAAAATTAGTTTCGGCGATTTGTTTTTACTAAAAGCACCAATTTTCCAAAATATTTAAATAAGACAAAATTTCCAAAGATTTTAACGTGACATCGTATTCATATTATGCCCAATTATTTTGGGCAAACAATGTATATACAAAGGGTATTATGTAAATATTGTTTTATTTATTTTCAAGCAATAAATCTATTTTGTTGGAAAATGTTTTATTTTAAAATCCGTTCTAAATCGGGGGCCGTTTTATTTTTTATTCAGGAATTAATTTCATGTGTTCCTTTAGTGATTGTGCCGCCATCTAGCGACAGAATTAGTTTGGAATACCAGGGGTGTCCAACTTTCATTTTGAATTAAAAATTTCTCATGATATTTTTAATTTAGTGAATTGTGCAACTTTGGATTAATTTGAATAGATGGCGTTCGTAGCTGCGCTTCAAATTAAATTAAAAACATAACCACAAATTCATTCATTCAATTGTTTTAGCGAGAAATTAGTTTAAATAGTAATGTTCTCAATTGTTTAAATAGTAAAGTTCTCAAGGTAAGTTTAACAGATTTGATTAATTGATAATCGCTTAAAAAGAATTTTAGGTGAAACGAAGTTTATCGGGTCATCTAGTAAAAATAAAACAGCGCCCCATATAAAACCTAGAAACAGATACAACCAAATAAAACACAAAATTTCATAACAAAACATCATTTATTTACACCCTCAAAACCTGACTTTACCTTCCTTGGCCATTAAAATCTTCTCCACCATTTTGGCTCTGCTTTCCAATAAACTTTTCTGTACTTCCCCTATCGTGTCTGCCTTAAGGTTTCTCAATAGAAAGTGGTGTATGAAGAGCCTGAGGCTCTCCCTGAACATTTTTAGTTTTTCAGATTGAGCCACTTTCTCGAAAACGCCCTGTACAGACTCGAGATCGTGGTGGAGCAAAATACCGAGGAGAATCTGGCGAATGAAGCGCAGAGTGATTTTATCTAGCTCAGAGAATTGAACAATCTAAATAAAATAAATAAAAATAAAATGCTTTTATTAAATATATATAATATAATATTTTATTTTTCTCACCTTCAAAGTTGATATTGGCAGACCTTTTTCTATAAACAGGTGGGTTAACAGTTTGGCCAAATTCGATATTTGAGAACCAGAATGATCATTTAAAACTTTAAGTTTGTGCCATACAGAATATTTAATTGTCATCTAAAAAATATTCAATAAAAAATATTTTTTAACATCATTAAACAATAATACCTGATACTTTCTGTCATATTCGCAAAACTTCTGAGCCAAAACTGAGTAGTAGGGATTGTAATTTTTTTCGTGCAAACAACAATGCAAAATAACGTGTACGATTTCACGTTCTTGTTGATTTTTAAGTCCTAATTTTAGTAGTTTTTCAAAGGCATCCAAATAATCCTTAAATACATTTTTATTAAATTAAAAATATTTCATATAATTTTTTATTTATTACTTCAGCAGCCATTATAATACAAAAAATACTTCTTCTAGTGTCAGTATTCATTCTTTGTTTCGCAGCCAACTCAAGTAATTTTTCGGAAAAACCGTCAGTCTTCACTTTTTGACTTTTCTCCGCATTTTCCGTTAAATTTCCCGACCACGCCGAGCCTACCACCCACCAACGCCCTCTTTCGTCAGCTAGAACAACTTTATGTATAACATACAAATTTTTTCATCTACACCCACCTTTTAACAAGTCTTCCAACGTGATATTTAATTGAGTGACGTAGTTTCCTTTTCTTATAAAACCTTTCATGATTTTTTTCAGATGTTCCGAATATGTGGTGTCGTAATTCGGGATTTTGGTGACGTTATTGTTTTTTATCGCCAGCAGAATGTCCAACATAAACTTTACTCTCGCACTAAAAGTATTTTTGGTGAAACAATATGCCCCAAAAATTTATATAGCTTACTTATCCTTGGTAGCTTCAGTAGCGCTTGCGGCCTGTTTTTGAAGCTTCAAAATCAAATTTTTTAACGCGATTGGATCGTCCTTTCTCAAGTTAAAACCGACAGCTTTTAAAACGTGTAAAATGCACTCGACGTCTTTTTCCTCGAAATTATCGCTTAGCTTTTCCAAAACTTCGTAAACTAATTTCGAGTCGAACATTTTGAAATTGTATAATTGAGAAATTATGATGACTATGTTGTCCAGCGATTTATTTTCTACTGGGTGATCGTTTTTGTGGTACTCGTCGAATTTTCTGGCGACGGTTTGTAAAAAATGCGCACCTTTAAATATCTATTGTTAAAAAAATTACCAAAAAACTTTTGCAAAGCGTGCCAACTTAACATTAAATAAATAATAATACATAATAAATAAAAAAAAATACATTTTTTATTGTACATACCGATTTCAGTGCCGACATTGGCGTGTAAAATTACAATAAGCAAAACATGCTCCATCATCAACCTCTCTGGAGTTAAAACATTGGAAACCAGCGATTCCATGATGAGTGAGGTTAGGGTGTCATTCATATCGTTTCTACTGTTATTCATGTAAAGATCCTCGATTTGAGATGCGATGTTGTGCATGTTGCCTTCTGCCAACCTATTCAAAAGACCTAAAAATGATTTTATGTGGTACATTTATTAGATTGTGGATATTAAAAAAATAGTTAGGATAGGAAGTTGAAATTTGGTGAAAAGTTTAGGCTGAATGTGTAGTACAACATACTAAAACTTCACATTTCTAAAAAAATAGATAAAAAAATACCATTACCTTTGTTTTCTTGATATGGACAATTTTGTATTTATTAGATGGTGTATATTAAAAAAAAATGAAGATCCAATATTAAAATTTCGTGAAAAGTTTAGGTTAAATATGTAGTAAAACATATTAAAATTTCACATTTTTAGAAGAATGAGTTTGGAACAAAATACCTTTGATTTGTTTTCTTGATCTAGACAATTGTATTTATTAGATTGTGGATAATAAAACAAATATTTACGATAGAAAGTTAAAATTTGGTGAACAGTTTTGGTTAAATATGTAGTAAAACGTACTAAAATTTCACAGATTTAGATCAAATAGTTAAAAAAAATACCCTTGATTTGTTTTCTTGATCTAGACAATTTTGTATTTATTAGATTGTGGATATTAAAAAAAATATTTAGGATATAATGTTGAAATTTTATGAAAAGTTTAGGTTAAATATATAGTAAAACATACTAAAATTTTACTTGTTTAGATCAAATAGTTTTGAAAAAATACCTTTGATTTGTTTTGTTGATCTAGACAATTTTATATTTATTGTATAGTGGATATTAAAAAAAAAATAAGGTTCTTTAATTGAAATTTGGTGAAAAGTTTAGGTTAAAAATATAGTAAAATATACTAAAATACCACATCTTTACATTAATTGGTTTTGAAAAAAATACCTTTAATTTGTTTTTTTTATCTAGACAAGTTTGTATCCATTAGATTGTGTATAATAAACAAATATATATAAAGTTAAAGTTTGGTGAAAAGTTTAGGTTAAATATGTAGTAAAACATACTAAAATTTCATATATTTAGATCAAATAGTTTAAAAAATACCATTGATTTATTTTCTTAATCTACACAATTTTGTATTTATTAGATAGTGGATATTAAAAAGATCTAAAGTTGAAATTTGGTGAATAGATTACGTTGAATTCATAGTAAAACATACTAAAATATCACATCTTTGAATAAAATAGAATAAAATAGTTTTGAAAAAAATACCTAGGTACCTTTAATTTGTTTTCTTAGTCTAGACAATTTTTCATTTCTTTTTTTGTCTGATTCGGACATTCCAGCCTCCATTTTGGCTCTTATGGCTGGAGGTATGTATTTTTGTTCATTTGTCTAAAAATATTAAGAATTCTTAAATAGAAAATATTTCTTTATGTTAGGTACCAACCATTACAACTGAGCCATCTTTAGCCCTTAGTCTACCATAAATATCTTCCCAGGTACCATCAGGGTTTGTTTTCTTCTCTTCAGTGTCTGAATTTTCTTCCAATTCTTCATTTTCGTTTTCTGAACTTTCAGATTCTTCAAAACTTTCTGGGTCTTCAGTAAATCTTACTTTCTTGTCTTTTGGTGCTTTTTCCCCAGAATGTTTACGTTTATTGTTGTTTTTAGACTTTGGTTCTTTAATTTCTTCCTCTTCTCCCATTAAATCATCATCATCATCATTTCCACTAAAATCCTCAATATCTAAATCTGACTCATCATCTTCATTGAGCAGGGCTTCAAAATCAGAATTGTCTTCATCATCTTCATTTATTTCCAATTCCTCATCTTCCGAATTTTCCTTAAAAGCATCATTTTTCATTTTATTCTTTTTTTTATTTTTCTTAGGTTTTTCGACCTCCTTTCCAGTCATTAAAGCAAAATCTTCATCAAAGTCGTCATTTGCATCCATAAGTTCTTTTTCAGTTTCAGCCACCCCTTTCATGTTATCTCCATCACATACTTCTAATAGATCTAAAAAAATAAATATCCAAATTCACCGCTGTGGAAATAATTTAATCAATAAGCTAAAATATAATACGTACATCCTAAACCATCAGTATCAAATGACTTTGGAACCCCTTTACCCTTTCTTTTGTTTAATTTCAATTGTTTCTCCAATTTTTTTATGTTCCTATCTTCCATAACATTAGCTTCTAATAATTGTTTTTTACGTTGTTTGGTCATTTCGCGTTGCAAATTTTTTTGCTGATTTTTCTCTTTTGCACGCTGTTGTTCTGCAGATAAGCCCTGTACGTAAAAATGTGTAATTTATGAACAATATGATAAAATACAAAAAATAGTAATACCTTATTATTACTGGTGTTATTTTTTGTTGGGCTGTTTTTATTGGTCACGTTTTTTGCTTTCCCATCATTTTTCAACGCCTTCTCGTTATTTTTACCCTCATTTTCCTCCATTTTCACATTTTTCTTACTATAATAATCATTCCTCTTTATTTTCTTCTCTTTGCGTTTCTCCTTACGCAACACTTTACGAGACTTTTTCTCGTTTTTAACTTTCGGTTTTCTCGACTTAAGACCCATTATCACGCTCAAAAATATTAAAACTACTAGAAAAACATTGTGGATTTCAAAACATGCGAAAAAGTAAGGTTATGGTGTTTGACAGTTGTCAAGATAGTTCAGGAAACTGTAAACTGTAATAGTGGTGTGGAAACTGTAATAGTGGTGTGAAGTATTGGATGTTTATTGCTAGAGGACGCTGGCTATAGTAATTTCAAAAATGGCTCTGAGCGAGGCTTTAATGGTGTTTTTTAGTGTTTAATTAAAACAGTATTCTCATGTAAGTGTTTATTTTATTTAACCAGTTTACTTGTTTCATTTATGGAAAATAATGATTTAATTCTAGTATAATTTCGGACATTAGATTTTTAACGAGTTTAAATTGATAAAAAATTACGATTTTCTCTAAAATTTAATACTTTAATACCTATTTTATCTACTCCCACCTTTAAAACGACCATTATCGTACATGTTTTCATGGTCTTTTAAATACACATTGACAATTTGTGGTTTTATGGCGTTTTAGTTGCTCTATATAGGTATATACCTACAAATATTTAATTTAAATCATGTTAATTTACTAAACATGATTAGACATTGTTTAGACTATATTAAGTTTATAAACTTTTGTAGACACCCATTTAATTAAACACTGCCTAATTAAAATTCGTGACTAAAATGGCGTTTATCAAACTTGATGCATAATATATCATAATGCACTGGTACATTACATTGGAAAAAGTAAGGTTAAACCCGTTTCACAGATGTCAGATTAGGAAAAGTGAGGTTAAAACTGTTGTTTTTAAATCTTTATGTCCGTTATTAATGGTCGGATATTAAAAAAAGTTTTTGGAGTTGTCTGTTTATTATATACAATTTTTTTAAACGTTTCAAATTCTGTTGTAAATATATTTATAACGAAGCTATTTACTTTTATTTATTCAAATTTGTTTTCTATTCTAGAATTAAATCTTATCAATTACCTAAATAAAATTTAAGTTTTATAAACACGCCTAAATACTGTTTGTTTTGTTTTACAGTTAATTGATTGTTTGGGTTATGTTATGTAAAAAGTTAATAATAATATGATTTTCTACTGCCACCTTTAAAACGCCCAATATAGTATATGTTACCATGACACTAACGTGACCTTTTAAATACACATTGACAAGTTGTGGCTTTATGGCGCTTTAGTCACGGGTTGTAGTTAGCAACAGGTTTTTAGTCACGGGCTGAAGTTAGTTTTAAGTTAGTTCCCAGATAGCACACAACGTTTTGAAGATGTCTTTTGTATGTATTATGCCTGAACGTCTAAAGATCTAAAAAAGACATCTGAAAGACGTCTTTTGATATCTTCATTTAATGTTCAAAAGACATTTTATAAATGCCTGATACCGCCGCTTATTTTTTTTTATTTATTGATAAAATAGTGAATTTTGACAAGTCAAAATTGAAATTATATCCCATAATCAACCACTTCATAGTAAGATATAAATAGGTACCATCTTATTTTGGTGTAATAGAAACAACATTGTCTAATGTAGGATTTTAAGTTTTAACAATGATGATGAGTAGGGTAACTGAATAAATATATATCTGACATTTTTGTAGATTGGTTATTTTTCCTACAATTAATAATATCCATTTGTAATAAAAACATTATAAACAAATATGTTTTTTAAAATTAAGTATTAAGACAAAATAACCTTAAAATCACCCAGCGAAACTTTTTAAATTTTAATTTAATTTAATTTAAAAATTACCCGCACATTTCCCATAATGCAATGAAATCATCAAATCGGCACCATCTTATAAGTCACGCCATATACTTACTTCTTATGCTGTTCTTTTCTATTTCACCAAGCGCTGATAGGTTTGCCTCACAGACAGTCTGTGGTCTGCCTCTTTTCAATTCTTAAATAACTCGTAACTAAATGCAGATTGCAGACATCCGACGCCATTTTTGCTTCTTGTTTGTTGAATTTGGTTGAATGCTGTTACTAATCGTGGCGGTTTTTCTTTTTATGTTCCCGTTCAACGTTCAACAACTCAAGTGACAAGTCAAAGCACTGCACGAAACACCACAAAAACGAAACCAAAGTAACAAAAAAAATCGAAAACCAACACTGCACACTGCTTTGAAAGCAGTGTGCAGGGTTGGTTTTTGATTTTTTTTGTTACTTTGGTTTCGTTTTTGTGGTGTTTTCCGGAAAAATAATTGATAGCCCGAGGGATACCCTGGTCTGTGACCCTGATAGCCACCTATAATACACTCAAGAAGGGCTTCAGACGGAAGGGTTCTACTTGACGAGAAGTTTTGACTTATTGATTTGAATTTATAGGCAGAAATAAATATGTAACAATTTAATTTTTTTTTATTTTAAATAGAAGTATACGTTATTTTTAGAAGTTTAAAAGCATTATTAGCTATAGCTATAGCTATAGTAGACTCTGTGTTCTACTCTGTGTTAGCTACATTTTAATTACTTAATACCTTAAAAACGTTTTGGCGATGTAGCAATGCATAACCAAGACGTTTTCAATAGGTAGTCTTTAACATCTTAAAGACGTCTTAACGTGTTTTGTAAAATTATATATCTTAAAGACGTATTAAAGATGACTTAAGTCGTAAACTGGACGTCTTAGAGACGTCTTAGAGATGTCATAGTCACATCTTTAAGATATCTTTAAGATGTATCTGTGCTATCTGGTCAAATGTCATACCATCGTTAAAATAAAATACCTTTCTTGTAAAATAATACTAAATGTAAAAATTATTTTATTATCTCAATAAAACAATACAAAAGTATTAAATAGCTTCTTGACGCTAATATTTGAAAAGATTAATCTTTTCATAATATTACATGAACGTTTGTACAGACCTTTTTATTTCGCCGTAGTTGTGCAGTTAAAACTAGATTTAACTGATAAAGCGTACAGTGCCCTTTATCGATTGTTAGTCTATTTTTAAGGGATAAATTTTGATTTACACAGAAAAATTTGAGATTTTAACGGGAATTTTAATATATACAACTGTTTTGTAATTTTATCTACGCCAGTGAGATAAGAACTTCTTATCCCACTCATTTTGAGTGAGATAAGAAGTTCATTAACGCACGCGTTTTTCTCTGCTTTTAACCAATCAAATAAAAAAGTCAAAATAACCCTAAATTAAGTCTTAGACAAAAATAATTACCGTTTATTTTTTCATTTAGAGGCGTAGATAAAAATTTGTACAATATACGTGTGATAACGCTTTATTAACGTACTTTTGCGATTGCCCAACTCGTGCTACGCACTCGTTGGGCAAATTTCGCATGCGTACGTTAATAAAGCTCTTATCCCACTTATATCGTAAATAACTATTATCACTTCCAGTGTAAGAATTTTAAATATTTTGTGATAATATTTTGCAAATATAGTAATAAAAAAAATCAAAGAATAAAATATTATCAATACTTGTTAAGTTTAATTAAAATAATGACGGGCAATGTTAACGGTGAAAATTACGTTTTCTTATAGATGTCGCTTTATACAAATATTTAATTTAAATCATTTTTAGATTCCTAATATAAGCCCAAGTAGCACAGTTATATGATTTGTATATGAATTTCATATACCGACGGAAACAAATGGAATCTGAATATCATATGAATTTTTATGATATTCAGGTCAAGGGCATATCCTATGCACATGAAAATGGTAAGGTATTTCAGCTGCATATCATGTGAATTTGGCAGTCCTTGGAATATGATAGAGATATATTTTTCATTGCGTATGGAATATTACAATCCTGTTTCAACTTCAGGTAACAGCTAGTGCAGTTTAATATATAAATATATATATATATTAAATGCATGGTGTCCCACAATTATTGCGAAAAAATAAAAGTGTATTTTCTGCAGACCCTCAGAAATTACAGAAAATTTTTAAAAATATTATTCCTTTATTATTCAATCTTCACTAGATCACAATACACACTAGATATTATAGAATTTATAGAAAAACTAAAAGGCACATGGCATAGCCGGCTCAAATCGCGCAACAGGTTCACTAATGGCGGCCAAGTCGCGTTAGCTTGTAAAGATGTCGAAAGACTCGAAGATTGCGAGAGAGGGCGACGCTCAACGAAGCAATCCGAATCAGAAAATTACATTAAACCGCGAAATTTAAAATTTTAGAAATTAGAAATAATTTTGTTATTAATTATTATTGTTCCCTGCATGGTTTATAGCAACAATTAAGTATTTACAATAGTTATTAGATAATAATGATTATTATTTGATACATAAAATAATAATTATTTTGATTGTAATCTTTTTATAGAGATGAAGAACTTGATTTTTTTAAATATTTGGCGCAAAACTTGACAAAAACATTTTTTTAAAACCTATATAATACATTGTATTATATTATAACTATTATATTATGTCAGTAACCTTAGGCTGACAGATATCTGTCACCTTTTATCATAGGACAGGTGACAGATGACAGGTGACAAATGACAGGTGGTAAATGACAGGTGACAAATTACAGGTGAAAGTTAATTAAAGTTGTTACTTTGCATCATAATTATGTTAACTGGTGACAAATTAGCCCGGATCCGATAGCGTCTGTCGACAGACGCAATCAGGATGTTAACAGAATTCTTGAGATGTCGTGTAATATTTGTGTTTCGGTATAGGTACATGATATTCTTAGGAACAGCATAATCTGTTTTTCATATGCTTTCGATAATATGACAGGAACATGAATATCACCTCAGGTATATACTAGACATATCGGGAATGTCTGGAGCATATGAATATCATATACTGTGCTACTTGGGAGGTATTTGTCGTAGAAAAAGTTTAGTATGCAACTCGTTTATAAACTTTTCTCATTTAATTAAATTAAATTAAATTCGTGATTAAAATGGCATTTATCAAACTTAATTTATAATTTACTATTTTTTGTTCAATTTTAAAACTTTCAGATTTTTTTTGTGGATACATTCAGAGTTCCAAAAAGTAATGTAAAAAATAAAGCAATCGTCATTTTTTATCATTGTAATGTAGTTTAAATACATTAATCATTAAAAAAAATTGTAATGAGAAATATTTTCAAACTGTTTGATTTCCTTGCAATTTACGTTAAA